TCAATATGCACTTGGGAGTTATCAATAATAAAAGGCATGTGAGAACTGTGGCGACTGATATCAAAAACAAGTTCGCATGTTTTTGCTGTGTTCAGCTGGAGATTGTTTTTTCAAGTTGACCCAGTGGCATTTTGAGTGATTCAGATTCTGAAAGTGTAGATTTAAAGCAAAAATGTATAACATGAGGAAATCTGATCATATTGGAATCAATTACAATATCAATCAATCAATCAAAGACGTAACACACACCCCACAGACAACAGGCCCACACATGAAGTAGATCTCACAAGGGGAAATTCAAGTGCCTATTAGCAGCCAATCCAGACAGGAAACATGCACATCAGTAAATATAAATAAATAAAAGAAAATCCTTTTTCAATGCCTGTAACCTTAAAATTATTGTTCCCACATCAGTTGGTTATTTTTAGAACATCCACGCTAATATCAAGAACTTCTGGCACAAACAGGAAACTCCACCCGTTCAGTCAATAAGCTCCATTCTCAGTCACGCAACATTAATGCAATGTACCACTATTACATCGCATTGAGAACGAATCAACTTTCAACATGCTGTCTTCATCTTTATAGAAAACAAAGCCAAAAAGACATGCATGTGAAAGTAGAACCAAACAGTGGTTTTTTATTTTGGTGGGTTGAAAGATAGTTATCCCAACTTTGAGATAAGTATCCATTTCAATGTATTTGAAGGTTAATTCTTGTTACTTTTCCATGTTTCTTTGTACTGCGGTCAGACTTGGTTTTCAGTTTGATATATCATATTTATTTCTTTGTTATTTGGCATTTGTTAAACATCTTCGGTCAGCTCTGTGAAGGAATAATACAGATTTAAACTTTTCACCCTCTAAAGCTTCTCTTTAGCATCCATCAGTCTTGGGGTGATTGCTCTTGAATTATGAGGCTTTTTCCATCAGTAAACGTCAAAAAAAGTTTGCATCTGCATCAGGACTTAATCCTGATGCAGATGTCACAGCTTTCTCTTGCAGGAATGGAGCTAGAGACAGCATTTGCAGGTGCAAATGGGTCACAGGTGAAGTCGCTATCACTCGCCGTTTCTCGCAAGGAGCACATTTTCCTGCAGCATTGAATCACAATGTAAGAGGCTTTTGGAATAAGGTTTTTACATAAGACTGAATACAGAAAAAGGATCTATTGTAATAAACACATATGTAAATCATTTACCAGGGGTAAGTTAGGGGTCAGATATGTGGAAAGGCGACAGTAAGGCCTGGACTCCACCGGGCGCGTCTCCTGCTGTCCGTCAGACGTCCGTAAAACGGACTAGTGGTCAAACCGGTTGCAGCAGCGCGCAACTCTGGCTGTCCGTTTATCAGCCTGCTTTGTTTTTGTAGGAGACACGTTTGGGCATTGTGTGAATGAATGAATGTTTGGCTGATGGAGGAGTTATTTATTGTCGGCGTGCATGTGTGCGTGGACGTGTGCGTGAGAGCGCCTGTGTGTGTGTGTGTGTGTGTGTGTGTGTGTGTGTGTGTGTGTGTGTGTGTGGTGGGAGGCGTGTGCGTGCATGTGTGTTTGGGTCTGTGACCGCAGCGTTTATTATGATCCAGCCTCTTCGTTTGTTTTACTTATTTAGCGCGTCATACACTTTTGTCGGACCCAACTCGCCTCTCCGCGGCTTTAGGCAACAGGCAGCCGCTATAGTTTTAAATAGAAGAAGCAGTGTGTGATTTGTATGAGCTGTGGCTATGATCTATGCAAAGCACAGCATATTGAAGCATTGAGGACGTCGCGATGGATGAGGCAAAACTTATTGAAAGCAATTGGAAAAAGGGGAGAGAAAAGGACTCCAACATATCCAGTGTTGTGAGATCTGTCTCTCATAAGTGCAGCTCTGTGTGTAATGTGTGTGTGAGTGTGAGTGTCTGGAAGCGCGCAGCGGTGAGGAGAGAGAGATTAGCGTATTAACATTACGCAAAAACTAAATGGTAGATTTACGATCAGGAAACAATTATTTAAAGTAATACATGAAGAAAATTACACACGTTTGTTAATAATCATTGTCATTAACAAATACTTATAACCAAGGACTAAAGCATATATCAATACATGTTTAATAATGTGGTAAATATATTATTCCATTGTATTTTCAATGGAAAACGGACGCGACACGCGTCGACGGACGGAACAAATAGGATTGTTTCTATTTCGTCCGTCTGCATCCGTTGCACCCTCCGTTAACGGAATATGCCTTAGGTATTGTAGAATACCTAAGGCATGTTTTAGTAAGTAAGTAAGCTTTATTTATATACCGCCTTTCACAGACCAGAGTCACAAAGCGGTTTACAATTGTTATTTTTTTTTGGGCACTTGTCTCTCACTCCACACAGAGATGGGAGCGGGGTCGCCGAACAGGAGGCGCATGCCAGACCTATTGTACATATTTTTAGTGGTAGGGGAAACCGGAGTACCCGGAGGAAACCTACGCAGGCACGGGGAGAACATGCAAACTCCACTCAGAAAGGCCCTGGTCCGGCCGGGATTCGAACCCAGGACCTTCTTGCTGAGAGGCGAGAGTGCTATCCACTCAGCCACCGTGCCGTTTTAGGTATTCTACAACACACTGCGGTTGGGCAAAGGCAAGATAGACATGTTACGAGCTCCAAGCAGTCTCCCAAGTACTTTTTCCTCTTACAAAAAACATAAAACGTCACATTGTCTTATCTTTACCACAACAACAAACAAACCACATTTTGGCCACATGGTTTTATCGTACACTGAAGATAAAGAAATAGAGGCTGTGTGGTGTGGCAGATTGCTACAAATACTGGCAGTCAGCAGAGGCTAGCGCACACTGTGGCAAGTCATGCAAACGAGCAGGATCTGAAAAGTGTGCACAAAAAACAGCCAACAAGCCGCGTTCATGCTCAGCTCTCTCCACTCTCACACGCACACACACAATGTCTTTGGCTCTGGTCCCTCTACCCTGCCTTACAAACATAATTTATCACCTGCAGGGTCCATCGAGTGTGCGAATGTGTAATGTGTGCGCACAAAAGCTCTGGCCTGATCCACTGCCTCCATAACCCCATTAAGATACAGCTGATGACAAAAGCTTGGCCCGAGGAGAAGTAAGTCAGATTGTGGATATAGTCTGAGCCTGAAAATGTAAATATAAACGATACCGCAATGTATCAGAATCAGAATCAGAATCATTTTTATTGCCACGTAAGTAACAGGAGGTCACAGACTAGGAAATTGCTTTGGCTCAGTGCAACAGTCAAAAAGAGATAATAAAAATAAGAATAAAAAAACACTTCTAAAGAATACATTTAAATTTAAAATAGAGTTACAGTTACTATTTACAATATACAAGTGCACATGGTGCACACAATGTAAGGTGACAGCAGTACAGTGAAGTAAAGTGACGTATGATGGGCAGTAAAGTGACTTTATAAAGGGCGGGGGGACAGGTTAAGAAGTGCTCAAGAGTCCAACAGCAGAGGGGAAGAAACTGTTCTTGTGGCGGGAGGTTCTAGTCCTGATGGACCGCAGCCTCCTGCCTGAGGGGAGTGGATGGAATAGTCCATGTGCAGGGTGAGAGGGGTCGGCTGTGATACGACCAGCCCGGCATCGAGCTCGGGCGACGTACAGGTCCTGCAGCGATGGAAGGCTGCGGCCGATCACTTCCTCTGCAGAGCGCATGTCAAACATAGATTTTAGCCTGGGACTCCAAATCTAAAGCCAGTTTTATTTGTGTGTAGTGTTTTTAGTGTGACCTTGTTTTTATTACTGACTTTGGCTTGAGCCTGGAACAGTCCTGATTGATAGCCCTCCCCCTTATGATTGATTGGTCGGACTGGAGGACTTTCCCCTTTTTAAAACCCGGACAGAGGGACTGAGGGGAGGAAGGAAATCGGAAGCGTTACGGGGGACGAGGACAGAGGACAGAGGACAAGGGGAAACAAGGACCAGCACGCACCAGGAGAGACCTGCAGAGCCCACATACAACGCCCCGTAAAGCTGAGTATACAGGGACGTGATCAAGCAGCCTCAGTTTGTGTGTGTGTGCGTGCGCGTGAGACCGGAGCGTGATTGCCCACTCTCTCCGCAGCTGCATTGGCGTGGCGCATCAGGCCCCAGCCCAAGGAGCAGCGGACCCGGAGCAGCGGACCCGGAGCAGCGGACCCGGCCCAGCGGATCCAGCACAGTGGAGCACTGTATATAACGGCAGACGAGCTGAGTACTTAAAGGGACGTGAACAAGCTGCCCCAGACTCTGTGTGTGTGTGCGTGCGCGTGAGACCGGCGCCTGATTGCTTGCTCTCTCAGCAGCTACCCTGGTGTGGCGCACCAAGCCCCAGTGGAGCAGCAGACCCGGCCCAGCAGAGAGCGGCCCCAGCAGAGCAGAGCAGTGCGCCAGGCCCAGCCCGAGCCCCAGCAGAGCGGAGCAGCGCGCGCCAGGCCCAGCCCAAGCCCCAGCAGAGCGGAGCAGCGCGCGCCAGGCCCAGCAGAGAGCGGCCCCAGCAGAGAGCGGCCCCAGCAGAGAGCGGCCCCAGCAGAGAGCTCCTCCTTAACCCTTTATTTTGACCAGACCTTAAGACCCTTAGTCTTATTTTAAACTCTTAATTGGCCATTTTAATTAGCGCCATAGGGCATTTTATAATCATATTTATGAATAAAAGTATCTGAAAAAAAATCTAAGCCTGTGCATATTCATTTTTAAACAGTTACTGGTTGTTCCACACCTGACACGCACAATGCGCTGTAGTCTCAGTTTGTCCCTGACTGTGGCTCCAGCGAACCACACGGTGACGGAGGAGGTGAGGATGGACTCGATGATGGCCGTGTAGAACTGCACCAACATCTGTGCAGGCAGCTTGGCTTTCCTGAGCTGCTGCAGGAAGTACATCCTCTGCTGGGCCTTCTTGATGAGGGAGCTGATGGTCGGCTCCCACTTGAGGTCCTGGGTGATGGTGGTGCCCAGGAAACGGAAGGACTCCACAGAGGTGATGGGGGAGTCCATCACGGAGGGTGGGGGCGGGGGGACAGTGCTCTTCCTGAAGTCCACAATCATCTCCACTGTCTTCTGGGCGTTCAGCTCCAGGTTATTACCACTGCACCAGGACACCAGCCGGTCCACCTCCCTCCTGTAGGCGGACTCATCGTTGTTGGAGATGAGTCCAATGAGGGTGGTGTCCGCAAACTTGATCAGCTTCACAGAGTCGTGGCTGGAGGTGCAGTGGTTGGTGTACAGGGAGAAGAGCAGGGGAGAAAGAACACACCCCTGTGGGACTCCTGTATTTATAATCCGAGAGTCCGAGACATTCTTCCCCAGACGCACTCGCTGCTTCCTGTCTGTCAGGAAGTCAGTGATCCACCTGCAGGTGGAATCGGGCACGTTGAGCTGGGAGAGCTTGTCCTGGAGCAGGGATGGCAGGATTGTGTTGAAGGCAGAGCTGAAGTCCACGAACAGGACCCTGGCGTAGGTCCCCGGGGAGTCCAGGTGCTGTAGAATGTGGTGGAGGGCCAGGTTAATGGCGTCGTCTACAGGTCTGTTGGCTCTGTAGGCGAACTGCAGGGGGTCCAGGAGGGGGGAGGTGAGGGACTTGAGATGGGAGAGAACCAGGCGTTCAAAAGACTTCATGACGACAGACGTAAGTGCTACAGGTCTGTAGTCATTGAGTCCTGTGATCCTGGGCTTCTTCGGGACGGGGACAATGATGGAGAATTTGAAGCAGGCCGGGACATGGCAGGACTGCAGAGAGGTGTTGAAAATGTCCGTGAACACAGGAGTAAGCTCACTGGCGCAGTGTCTCAGAGTGGCCGGAGACACGTGGTCCGGGCCAGGAGCTTTGCAGGGGTGCAGCCTCAAGAAGAGTTGTTTTATGTCTTTAGAGGCTATTGTTAGGCTGGGGGCAGGGCTGATGGGTGGGCCGTTAGAGTAGTGGGGGGTAGGGGAGGGAGAGGTGTCAGGGGCAGCATCAAAGCGACTGAAAAATAAGTTCAGTTTGTCAGCTAGCTTGTGGTCGTCAGCACAGGGGGGGGCTTTGGGTTTGTAGTTGGTGATCTCCCGTAGGCCCCTCCAGACAGAAGCAGTATCGTTGTTACCAAACTGCTCCTGTAGTCGTTCTCTGTGCCGGGACTTGGCTGCTTTCAGTTCTATCCTGAACTGATATTTAGCTGCTTTGTAGCCGCTGCGGTCCCCCTCCCTGAAAGCAGACTCCTTTGCTTTCCTGAGCTGCCGGAGTTTAGCAGTGAACCAGGGTTTGTCGTTGTTATAGATGACCCTGGTCCTTGTTGGAATGATGCTATCCTCGCAGAAGTGGATGTATGACGTCACAGTGTCCGTATATTCATCCAAGCTGTCTGTGGCAGCTCTGAAAAGGTCCCAGTCTGTAGATTCCATGCATGCGCGCAGCTCTTCCACAGCTTCATCAGACCACACTTTGGAGCTCCTCACTGCAGGTTTCGAGAGCTTTAGTCTCTGTCTGTAAGCAGGAACCAGATGTATCATGGAGTGATCTGAGAAGCTGAGGGCTGGCTTGGGAACAGCGCGAAAAGCTCCGCGTACGGTGGTGTTATGCCGTGTTCAGACCGATCGCGATGGAGGCGAAAAAATCGCATCAAACGCCAGGCGTTTTTCGCTTGAATATTTGATGACACTCGCTTCTATCGCGGCGATTACTCGCTCTGTTCGCCTGCGGATTTTCGTCGAGATTTCGCCTCGCCGCGTCATCCAATAGGAGGAGCTTATGGCCAGTTGCCGGTTCCGGTTGTTGTTCAACTCAGCATGGCGGGCTTTGATTTTCTGGAACGAGTCACTATACTTTATTTAATGTGGAAAGCCGAACAGCGGCGGCAGCGACGCCGTCTCTGGGTCCACGATATCCTCCAGAGACGCTCCCAATATGGGGAGTACCACCATCTGCTCCAGGAGCTGCGCCTGGATGACGGTCGATTCCAGCGGTATTTCCGTGTGTCCAGGACCCAGTTTGAGGACCTGCTGTCCCGCGTTGGGGCTCGGATCACCGTCCGGGAGACCAACTACAGGCGCTCTATCTCCCCTGCAGAGCGCCTGTCCATCTGTCTTCGGTTAGTAAATCAAGCGGTTCTCAATAAATAAGATTCCAAATGTTATAATCCAAGTACTTTACATGTAAAGCCATTGTGCCACTGTTTAGCTTTTAGATTTATGCCAAACTAATCAGTTAGTTATGCCAAACTAGACACGATAAGCTCGTTTCAGGTGGGGGTTAGATAATTAATAGTCCATTAGGTTAGATAACTAAATGTTGTTCAATGCTACGTCACTGCTCGATTCAGTCCCTGATTGGTCAACGCCCCGCGAATTGACCAAAAAGTTCAGATTTTTCAACTCGAGCGAGTAGGGCGGTGGAGGCGAAATGGCTCTAGGCGCGCGTCAAACGCCCCTTTCGCCACTTTCGTTCCGCTCTTTTCGTTCAAAACGCCCTGTTCGCCTCGCTCTACTCTCGTCATTCGCACCGCCGGCCTGTCATTCGCTCCTGAGCGCACCCGGCCATAGACATAACATGTAAATCACTCGCCCCTGACTCCTCCATCGCGATCGGTCTGAACACGGCATAACAGTGATCCAGAGTGTACTCCTCTCTGGTCGGGCATTTGATAAACTGTCTGTATTTGGGTAATTCCTGGCTCAAGTTTCCCTTGTTAAAATCCCCCAGGATAATAATCAGAGAGTCCGGGTATAAGCGTTCCATACACAGTACTTGCTCTGCGAGTGCGCGCTGAGCCTCGCGCGCGTCCGCGCATGGCGGTATGTGAACAGAGGCAAGAATGAATGAAACAATTTCACGCGGGGAGTAATATGGTTTACAATGAATGAAAAGATATTCCAGAGCAGGAGAGCAGTGCTTGGAGATCACTGTCACATCGTTACACCAGTTTGTATTGACGTAGAAGATGTATTGTAACCTGTGTCCGAAAATTTTAGTAAGAGAGCCACTTAAGTTCACCAGTATTGCCCAGGGGCCGACAACAGGGATTGTAAAAGAGTTTTGTCTGAATTCAGGCTGTTCTGAGATTTATGATTCACTATGGCCTAGCTGAAGTTGGCTGAATGTTAAATAATTACTACCTCATCAGATACATTATTAGATAATGAGTTTGTGTGACATGTAGTCAGTACATATAAATAATTTAGGACGTATAAAATAAAGCATGGCCGAAGGGTGGGTTTGTTTTTCATAAAGTCCTAATTTAACCCTTTATCATTTACTCCTTGAAGAATGCAATGTATTTTTTTTCTTATTTTCTAAGAGGTGGCTGGACTGCCACCTTAACGTGGTGGGGTAGTTTGAGTAGTCGGATGACCTATGTAGTAGTCTGGGACCTATGTTGTCTGGGGCTTTATGCCCCTGGTAGGGTCTCCCATGGCAAACAGGTCTATGGTGACAAGCCAGACGAAGCGCAGTCCAAAAATCACCATGGATAGCACTATGACGAAACCAGTGATGTTGCCTGGCATGGCGCAGCCGGAGCCCCACCCTGGAGCCAGGCCTGGAGTTGGGGCTCACAACCGAGCACCTGGTGGCTGGACCTTAGCCCTTAGCTCCTGTGGACCCACCACCCACAGAGGGATCCATGGTGCTGAGAGGACTGGGCAGCAGTCGAAGACCGAAGTCTGCACGACATCTGGCTCTTGCACGTGGAACATCACCTCACTGGGGGGAAAGGAGCCTGATCTTGCGGGGAAGGTTAAGAGATACCGACTAGACATAGTCGGCTTCACCTCCACATATATCTTGGGCTCTGGTACCCAACTCCTTGAGAGGGGTTGGAGGCTTCTTGTGTGTAACCCTTTAAGCGCCAAAGTTGCAATATTGCGACAAGCAACATTGCTCACTTAAACAGGCTGTATCTAAAAATGTGGTGCAGTATCTTGTTAATAGTTTTCACCAGGGGTTAGTGGACATGTGTGCCTGTAATATGAGCAGCATTTGTGGGTGTGGTTATATTGAACGTTTTAGAGTAAATTGAGTTCGTAAAACATCTGCGGCGCTGCAGCGCGGAGGCGAAGCAGCAGCAGTAGTACTGAGCGGAGAGGGAGCAGAGCAGAGGTAGAGAGTGTTTTTTTCATTTACTCACAATGTCTTCAGTACCAGAGAAGAACTTTGTCTGGTACTGGCTCACTCAGATTCAGAGGAGGAAGACACGCAGGTGTCCATTGAAGCATTATTGGTGACGGGGAGATAGCGCCATATAGTCCACAATCAGCCCCTGTACAGTGGCTGCTTCACCTCCGCGGGCCACGCGGTGGAAGCATTCCTCGAATGTGGTGGAGGAGACAGGGGGATCATAACACCGGGCATGTGGGAGAAAGTAGCAGCCGCGGGAAAAAACATTGCTAATCGCGTTCGATGCCTTTTCCAACGGCGATGATGAGGATGAAGGCCGTTCTTGAGTGAAAATAATCCACAAAAGTGAATCAGAAGTGTTGAAGAGCCTGTTGTTTATTGTTGAGACGATCTAACAAGTTCTAAGCCCATTCATTTCATCTCTCTGTTTCTAAACGGTAAATCCTGTAGCCTCATTTCCACTGGGAAAAATTTTATGCCCACCACTTCTTTGAAAAGGAAATATTGAAACCAAACTCCAGATTTCATGACTGTAAACTATAAAGAGTGCTGTCTTGGTCACTGAAGGCCTTTTAAAATAATACAATTCCATATGGCTGCAAACCAGTGCTAAAACATTATCTATAATCTGGATCAGGGAATTTATTTCTATCCCAAATTTATTTCATACTATAGATATTTCACATTGACTGTTGATAGTATTCCCTGATCTCAAAAAACTCCCAAGCTACAGCTTTTTGAAATAATTTACATCTTCCAAAATGGCCGCCACCTTGATGACGTCACAATATGCAAATTAGATGACGGATCAACTTCCATCCCAAAGTTTGGTTCAAACTGAAGATATTTCTAATTTACAGTATGCCTTTATCTCAAACCATTTTTAAGTTTTAGCCTTTTGAAATCTTGAAATCAAAATGGTGTTTTGTCTTGAAAAAACTCTGGCGCCTAAAGGGTAAATGCATGTATTGGTTTACAGCATTTTTGTTTTAATTGGATCCACAGAAAAAACAAATAAAAAATAATCCAACATTTTAATCTTGCATTAAATTCAAAGATTGAGAATCAAAAACATCCCTGTTTTTTGTTTTTTAAATGTTGGTTTTATTTAGAAAATCAAATGAACGGATGATACACGAATTCATTGTGATGACAAAGCGGAAAGGAATCTTTCTTTTCTAAAACATTACACCACAAAATGAATGTTATGGAAGATTTTTTGTGGCTTCAGATTTTGACCTTTATATGAGCTTGAGTTTTTTTGAATTTTTTAACCCTATCAACCATATCAAATATTTATGTTATCAACCTGTTTGACCAGCTGAAAGCTAGCACCTTTCTTGACTTCAGTGACCTCAGCGACTTTAGGCCAGTGGCTCTAACATCCCACTGCATGAAGACACTGGAGAGACTGGTCCTGGGACATCTCCGCTCCACCCTGAGCCCAGCGATGGATCCGCTGCAGTTCGCTTACAGGCCGGGCATCGGAGTTGAGGATCCCATCATCTCCCTCCTCCATCGCTCGCTGTCCCACCTGGAGAAACCCGGCACTGCTGTGAGGATTATGTTCTTCGACTTCTCCAGCGCCTTCAACATCATCCAGCAGCGGCTTCTCAGGGACAAGCTGGAGACAGCCGGTGTGGACTACAACCTGTCCCAGTGGATCCTGGACTACCTCACAGACAGACCCCAGTTTGTGAGAACCAGGGACTGTGTGTCTGAGGTCCTGACCTGCAGTGTGGGGGCCCCCCAGGGGACTGTCCTCGCGCCGTTCCTCTTCACCCTCTACACTGCGGACTTCAGACACAACACGGACGGTTGTGTTCTACAGAAGTTCTCTGACGATTCTGCCATGGACTCAACTCCGAGGACGATGAAGCAAAGTACAGAGGAGTAATTCAGGACTTTGTGGACTGGTGTCAGCGGAACCACCTCCTCATCAACGCGGGGAAGACCAAGGAGATGGTGGTGGATTTCCGCAGACGTCACTCTGCCGCTCCAGCCCCAGTGAACATCCAGGGAAAGGACATCGAGAGAGTGGACTCTTACAAGTACCTGGGTGTTCATCTGAACCACAAACTGGACTGGATTCATAACACAGAAGCCCTCTTCAAGAAGGGCCAGAGTCGACTCTACCTGCTGAGGAGGCTCGGGTCTTTTGGAGTACAGGGGCCACTCCTGAAGACCTTCTATGACTCTGTGGTGGCATCAGCCATCTTGTATGATGTGGTCTGCTGGAGCAGCAGGATCACAGAGAGAGACAAGAAGAAGCTGGACACGGTCATCAGGAAGTCCAGCTCAGTCCTGGGCTGTTCCCTGGACCCAGTGCAGCAGGTGGGGGACAGGAGGGTCCTGAGCAAACTAACATCTATGCTGGACCATAACTGTCACCCCCTGC